GATTACACAAATGAAATTTGAGATTTTTGAGATGAAGAAAAATGTTTTTAATCTTAACATGAAAATCACTTTGCACACGGACTATTCAAAACAAATACTCAATATATTCATAGACATATGTTTATTTTAGTGTATTAAAAATGCTTCACTAAAAAATATTATCTTTTGTATGTTAAAGACTTATAATGTTAACTGAAAGACTGCCACATTTTGTGAAGATATACACACACACACACTATGTTGAAAGTTAGAAGTATTAAATTTATAAAGACTTTAAAGTAGTACAAATAGGTTGTAGTCGGTCAAATTGATCGAGCCCATGTTGAGAGAGTTAAAGGGAAAGTAAAAGTCTAGCATGTGGCATTCCATAAAATTTTGTTTTTTTTATTGGATATTTCTAAGACATCCAGTCTACAGATGTTTTCATTCACGTACAGTCTTCTTAGTTCAAACTTTCTCTTAATCAAAATATGATGTTTTTTATTTCAGTAATAAAATTTGAAATTTTTAAAACCAAAGCTTTATATTAAATAGGCAGATTCTATTGTGAAAATGGACTTGTTTCTTGTAGTTTACACTGAATAGAAAAATGAAATATTAGTATGGTGTTGCATCTGTGATGTGTGCTTTGCATATTTATGCTATTTTGATTGTCACTGGTGCAAAATAATCATTTACCTGCATACTAGTTTATTAGAAAAAAAAAGTAGGCATTTTATTGTTTTGTGTGCACCCGCCCTTAGAAATGTATCATGAATAACTTCATAACAATAGATCTCGATCATAACTATAAAATTCTGAACAGTTATTAGCTACTTTGGATATGCAAAGGGATTGTGATTGGCTGCATTATGATGTCATTTGGTTTTGCAGAAGATTCCTTTGATATTATGAGATATTGATGATTGGAAATGAGGAAAAAACAAAAGGTATGAATATGTTCAAGAAGCAGTTAATTTTTAAAAAGATTACTACTTTTTTCCATCATAAGGGTGCAAAAATAGAAATAAAGAAAGGAAAAAGGTGCAGAGAAGATGAATGCAATGTAAGTTTATCAGTGAATGCATAGATGTCTCGATGAAAGTGGATTAATCAATCAGAATTAGCTTACATACCACATTTTCATTTTCATTACACACACACAAATGAAACAGATTTTAATGATTCAATTTACTGTTTTTTTCAAATATAAATTACTTTATCATGTTATGCTTTTATGACTCGTGAAGTTGATACCTACTTCACTACATGGATGACCAACTTTCTGGAAGTCAGCAGGGGATTTGGCCCACTTGAGAAAAGTTGTAAAAGCAACACCATTAGTATATGTCACTCGTTAATCTTACATTATTGATTCTGGGCTTCTGGCATAAATATGTCTTTTGTTATGTATAGTGTGAGTATATTTTATTAAATTGAAATATGTTTCAAGAAAGACTTTTTTATTTGAAGTATGTAATTGTTTAATTATTAATTCCTTAGGATTCTGTCAAAAGAATACTTGGTCTAACAGAAAGTTGTCTAATTGAGAGAGATCCACTAACATATTCCATTACTACCCTCAAACCTTTATCAGAGGTGAGAATGTATTTCTTTATTCATACTTTATAATTGTTTGTTACTTAATCCATATTTTATATCATTGATTGTCCACTAGATATTACTTTTTTGTTTTTTAGTAATGTAAAATATTTTAGTTGTAGGTGTATAGAATGTGTTGTACAAATCAGACTGTGATTGACAGCAATTATTATATTCAAAACATAGCATTTAACATTGTTCAATTAAAGAGTATAATTTTATTTGTGAATAATTAATGCAGGTCAAATAATAACAATGAATACGAACATAATATCAATGATATTTTTATTTAACTACATTTGTATTTCCTTTTTTCTTGAACAGTTAACTTACAGTTAAACATTTATAGTTTGATATCAATTTTTTTTTCTTTTAGTATTTGACAAAAGAATATTTTTTACATACAATGGTTTAAATATGCAAGAAAATTTACTCTTTGTATAATATATAATATAAATAGAGCAACATTGTGCAATAAACTTTATTTTAAAATGTAGTCAAAACACTGTTACATTACACAATAAAATTTAAAAATATTAAAAATGACTCTACGTGTTCCGATAGCTTCTGATGATTGTAGGGGAAGCTATCGAAACATGTAGTCATTTGTAATTTTTTTAAATTTTACTGTGCAAAGTTAAGATTGTTTTGCCAATATTTTTAAATTACTCTTAGTATGTTCATGACAAAGAAAACAACCAGACCACTTTTCAGATCTGATACTTATATGCTAATTAAATGTTTATATTAGCAGAAATATTTTATATTGCTGTGATATTCTTAGATTATATGATTTTTACAAACACTATTAGGAAGGCTGTATTTGTATTGGGAGTTAAATCAATCAGGATAATTTCAGAGTAAATATGAATTTAACTAAACTTATTGAATTTTAAACTAAGAAAATAAACAGACTTGCCACATTGTGTAAAATGAAGAATAATCTTTATATATATGTTAAAAGCAAAACAAAAGGTGTGCATACTTGTGTGGGGATACAGGATGTTTGTCTTATACAGGATCATTTAATCAGCAGCATTTATCTTTCAAAATGTTTTCCCCTCAACCAACTCATGTTAGGAACTTGGTAGAATTGTATAAATCTAAATCCCCATACTTAGCAGGAAACTTTGGATTTACATATAATGACTTGTGCTAACCACATGAATGTTCGTTCTCATTTACAGATAAGGCTGTAACCTTTAGATATCATCCACTTGTCCAGTTAAGGACATTTCTGAATTTAACTAAACTTGTTGAATTTTAAACTAAGAAAATAAATAGACTTGACACATTATGTAAAATGAAGAATGACATTTCTGTCATTAACTTTCTTGCACAAATGCAGCTAGAACGAAACTAACTCAGTGGTTTCAACTATTTGTTTATATAAAATTGCACAGAATCAAACTAAACAAAAAATATTTTTAAATCTATACATTGATATAAAAAGGTAGAAAATGCATGGTATGTCTGCATACTACATTGATATTTTTATCAAATATCTTTTTTTATTAAATTTTGGTAACAAATATTAACTTTCAAACTGAAAACTCAGAGTATAGACTACTGTAATATCCATAAAACAACAGTAAATTCAGATTGGCAACAGTATATGAGGAAGCTATATTTTTCACTAGCAGAGTACTCGATGTTACTGGGATGAAAATGACTTTAAATATCCTGAGTTGTTTTGATTAAATCAATCATATTAATCGAGATTTTTTGCAAAAACATTAAATTGGTTTCTTTTTATTTTACATAACTAAATATTTTGATTAAAATCAATAAAAGTAACAATGTACAAAAAAATAAAAATTTGCTAAAGATATTTTAATCAAAGCAAAACTGGGTACATTTCTCCTGCTTCTTGCATGTGCTTTGCATGACATTTCAAGTTTACAAAACAAAATTCCCTACCTTTTGGTGTCCTGATTTCTGTTGTGTGATCAAGTGTCTTTTGCAGCGTCTTCTGACTTTATCATTGTTCCATTTAATGAATAATTGATTTATTTTCTTCTCGTCGCAATACAACGTAAATGAAAATTTGCTGATGTCAAATGTTTTTGTAAAGTCATTGTATGATTGATTCTTGCGACTACACGCAAGCAAAACAAAAGATATAGCTGAAGTGAGCCTATTTAGTTGAGGGAGTGTGCACACATGTTTGTGAGAAAGCACCAGCCTTTTTCAGTTAATGGGAGTAAGAGGGTAAGCATATATGTGTAGAGGAAAGAGCAGAGAGAATGAGCAGAGAAGCAAGTGAAGGCTCCACATAGTTTTTGTGTCATTTTAACACATAATTGATGATGGATAGATTGATTAGGAGAAGTCCTCACCCAGAGAAGAAATGTAAATAATAGCCCATTTGATCACATATTACCCCCCAAAAAATCTGGGCATTTCAAATTGAGAACAATTGATCATCTTGTTTGCCAAAAATTGCTATATTGATCACCTTTACCTCAATTTGCAGACTCAAAACAGCTTCTGAGGCCACAGCCACATAGCCTGTATTACTTCACACACAAAGTTGTATCTGCACCTTGAGTTTGGAGTTTGTACCTATAAAGATGTGACTGTGCATAAGGAACAGACCAAAAGAGAAGAGATTTGCACATATACATATAGATGAGAGCAGCAGCATCTATGGATTCCACATTTTTCATAACAGTATTAAACAGTATTTGAAAAAGCCTTGTATTTATGAGAATAACAGCATTTGAAGAATCTGTTTTTATGAGAGTATCATCATCTTAGAAAGCCATATATTTTGTGAGAGTAATAGCAGCTGTGGAAGCCATACTTTTCATGAGGGTAATAGCATCTGTGGAAGCCATACTTTTCATGAGAGTAATAGCATCTGTGGAAGCCATACTTTTCATGAGGGTAATAGCATCTGTGGAAGCCATACTTTTCATGAGAGTAATAGCATCTGTGGAAGCCATACTTTTCATGAGAGTAATAGCATCTGTGGAAGCCATATTTTTCATGAGAGTAATAGCATCTGTGGAAGCCATACTTTTCATGAGAGTAATAGCATCTGTGGAAGCCATACTTTTCATGAGAGTAATAGCATCTGTGGAAGCCATACTTTTC